GTATTTTTCCCTCTAGGTTTCCCACATACTATTTTTCCATCCCACACCTCTTTGTCTCAAAGGCCTTTGTCATGGCAACCTGTCCTTCTCCAGAGGAGGACTGGAAGCACATCCCCCTCAGGAACTCCTTAGCACTGAATCCAGCAGCCTGTAGGCTGGAGAGGGATGCAGAGCACTCCCTGTCCCTGGAGCCGGGGTGCTCAGCAGGCCCTGCCAGCACAGAGCCCCAGGCACGGGTCTCCTGGGGCAGCTCTGTGCTGACACCAGCCCGTGGGGCCCTGGAGCCTGACAGGCTGATTGTGTTGTTGTGGGGGGAAAGGCTACAGAGAAGCAGAAAAGATACTTTCTAGTCTTATTTAAAACCTTCTTTATACAAGCAATACTGAGGCCAGATTGACTCTTTGGAGTGAGTGTGTTATTCAGAGTGTTGCCTCCCGTGCTTGTTTCAGCCTCAGGGAGTGACCAGCATCAGGTCTGCTCGAGGCAGAGACCAGAATGGATCTTTTGGGGAGCTCAGACCTTACATGCACAGTTGGAAATAGAAGTTTCTCATAGCACAAGTCGTAGCAGCTTGCATGTGCTGCAGGAGATAGCAGGCCTTCCAGATGGCTGAAGTGCTGGAAAGTGACAACTGTGAAGTTTAGGGTGCCTCCAAATTCACTGCAGTGTCTTTTGTGTGATGCTGAGTATAGCATCATCCTTGTTTAAGGAAGGCTCTGTATCATCCCTTCCTGTTAAAATCAAAGGGGCAATTCAGTAAGTTCTGCCTGGTGGAGTTGAAATGGACTTTGAATTAAATATCAAGTCCTTGATGAGGAACAAAACTTACATTTCATGTGTGGACAAGAGATTTTCTTGGATTGCTTTTGTCTCAAAATGTTTAATTAGTGTAGAGAAATTATGCATTTAGATCTCATGCAGATCTTGTCATTTAACAGCCTCCTGTAAAAATGTTGCTCAAGCAACCTTGGCAAAGCACTGTTGGTTTCTTTTTTTTTTTTTCATTATTTATACATTTTACAAATAGACATGTGTACATTGTTGCTGGTCTTTGTTGAACCAAATAATCCATGATTTTGTGGTGCAGGGTATTTACAGAGCCTAGATGCTCTTTTGATTCATAGTTTAAATCCAAGTATTTCCCTTCAGCATTTGCAGCCCAGACACGACAGCCATTTCCTCCCAGTGGGCTCTGTGCTGTCATGGCACGAACACCCAGAAAGTTCTGAGGAAGGGGCAGCCCAGCTCTGGATAGCAGTGGTGGAGCAAATCTTGTTCTTACAGAACTGTGATGGTCTCCCAGTTCCAGCAAAATAGTTCTTTTCTACCCAAAACATGGGTGTGCAGATAAGAGGGGAAAACATTGCTTCATGATTTCTAATTCACATGCTGCATTTTTAAAGAAGGATGTTGTGGCTCAGGTTCTCTTTTCCTTTGCTTGTCGCAGCTGTACAACCAACAGCATCAAGATTGCTGCAGAGGAGTTCCCCTCTGCAATCCTTGTTATTTACATGTGTGTGTAGTGTTTTGCATGGGCATTTGAAAGTCCTGGTGTTACATACTTTGACTTAAACCTGCATATATTTAAAAATACAGTTTTGCTTTAGTCAGGGATGTTTAGGTATGGAAAATTACCCACCTGCAGAAAATATGTGGAGAACCAGAGTCATTGTGACTTGGCATTCATAATAACAAGGGAAACTTTTCTTTAAAAAAAAAAACCCTTCTTAACACATAGCTAAAAGCAAAAAAAAACCAAACAAATCAATTAGCCAACCCATATTAAATTAGAATTTAATTTTGCCTCTTTTTTAATTTGCTCTGACAGAAGATTCTTCTGGCTTTTGGAATGGGATGAAAAATAAGCAGAGATTTGTTACAGCATGTAGTGTCACTTACTTAATGTCATTTTCTTCTGAAGATGTTTCTGGGACTGAAGCTGAGTTCTTAAAACTTGCTAGAGAAGTTAAGTATGCTGGGAGTACCGTTCTGTGGGTACATTAACTTGAATTCAATGTCACTGGAAACTGCTCTAATAGACCCAATTATTTGAAAAGGTCATTATAGTTAGTTAGGATTAGCCTGGTTTGATATTTATACATTTTGGAAAATAATTGAGAGGACTTTTTAATCAGTTTAAATCATTGTGTCAGCAGGAAATAAAATAAACAGCAGGGATGCTAAATGACTTTTTTTTCAAAAAAACCCCACCAGTTTAATGAAGTTAAGATTTATAATGAAATCTGAAATTACGTTACAATATTAGGTCGTCATTTGTGTTTTGTTTTTATTTAGGCTCTCAGGCATGTAGAAAAGCCTGTTATTTTTTGGTCTGATCCTGGGGAAATGCCAAGCACCCTCCCAGCAGCACTAGGAGCCCTTAGCTCTCCCAGGAGGCCCATGTTGTTAAGGGCACTCAAAGAATCTATTGCTGAGGTCCATGGAGGAGGGTTTGATCTCTGTCCAGTTTCTTTTTCCCTTCATTTTCCTCTCTTTCCATTATCCTCCCTTGTGTCTGAGGCCACTTCCCAAGGGCCTTTCAGACATCTACAGTCTGGTAGCAGGTTGCCTGCAGAGCTTGGAGTCAGCAGCTGTAATGAGTATGGTGCGGCATTTTGGACATGATGTCTTGAAAATCTGGGTGCCTGGGTTGCTTTGCCCTTCTGGGTATTCTGCTGATGCAGCTCCTCATGTTCTCTGTCGTTGCACTGTCCTCTGCCCCAGTTGAAACTCCTTCCGTGCGCTTCTAAATCTCCTCACTTGCCTTTGTGCTGAACCTTCTCTGTTGCCCCTCCACTCTCATATTCTTTGAAACTGTCTTTTGAGGGCAGATGTGGGCGCTGCACCATTGAAACCCTCAGGTATTCTTGGCTTTAACCTTAATTTGCTCAGAGTGTCCCTGAGCAAGGGTGGGGGGCAGGTGGGTGGGTGTGCATTAGGTACCTCGTGTGCCTTAAGGCAGTGGCTTCATGCAGCACAGGTTCACAAACTGAAGCACAGGTTCACAGAAGCTGAAAGGATGTGGCATGTGTAGCTGCAAGTCAACCTTGGCTGTCTGGTGCACAAGAAAGCCTGATTTACCACAACAGCAGTGCTGTGCAGCTGTACCTCGCTGTGCAGGGGAGGAGTGGGGGGGGTTGGTGAACACTGCACAGTTTTAATATATTATATTTCTTCTGTCAAAGGAGGTTCCCTCCCTCCTCCCCCTGCCCCCTCATTGTGCTGCTGACTGAGTACCTGGCAATTTTCAGTCCTTCCTACAGCCTCTGGAGTTAGGACAGTGCTGTAATTACGATTTTATTGGGGGAGAGGGTGTGCAGGTGGCTGAGTGGTTTGATTGCCTTGTGCAAGAAATTCCAG